GAGTTCCAGAACGCCTTCAGACTATTGAAGTAATATACTATGGTGTGAAAGCCCACTTGCCGAGAGAAATATTTCGGTGGCACGGCCAGGGAGGTCGCTCAAGCATTCCCTCCTGGCACGTGTATGTGTCCCCCACTGGGGGGGGGGGTGTTCACATAAGATTCATTCTAATAGTACATCCAAGGAGAAGCGGATAGTTATATCTGGGCCAGGTGTACAGGCTTTGTGGAAGCCATCCATATGTGCCCCAGACACCCCTGATTCATCCACTCAGAATGGGGACTGAAGGAGCCTCTTCACCCATCCAGCACCACCCCCACAGCAAAACCGATCTCCAGTTCCCCTCTGGGACTTTGCAGGGGGCTAGTGCGGTTTACAGGGCCACGGGGAGGGCGAGGGGGACTCACCCAGGCTGTCCTAGTATCCGACCCGTCTCCAAGCCCGGAGGAGCAGAGCGGCGACGTAGCGATCCGATCGCGGCCGCGATCCGCCCCGGCCGCGGATTCAGGAAAGACCGCGGCTTCACACGCCGCGGTAGGCCGCAAGCCGCGCCGCGCCCCAGATGGTCGGAGAAAGGGCAAAGTTGCTCAGTACCCCTCCTCAAGTGTCAGGTAAGGTCCGGGTAGCAGGGGATCTGCAGCGGGAGACTGTTTTCCCCCCGGATGGCAGTGGATAGGGGTTCAGAGAGCCGGAGCTCTCAGAAATGCATCTGCTCCCGGCGCCATCTTGGACACGCCCCCCCTTTATGATATTTCTTATAGGGACTCTGTATAAGGATTTGGTACAAGTGTATTACATTGTCTTTCCATCTGGATCACCCCTGGCATTCAAAAAGGAAGTGAAATATTATGTTTAGTAATGCATACATTGAGCTATTATTTTTTTACAAGCCACCTGTACATCCCCGGAGTGTTGTATTTTGTTTATGGCATTATAGGTGAAATTTGTCATATGCATCACTATATGTGCTGGGCTCCTGCCTTATCTGGACTCTGGTTCCTTGATCTAGAAGCCTATAGATTGGAGTATATACTATCTGCCCACTAGACCATTCCCCTACTGTCGTCCAGCCACACCAGTAAGTTTGTGGTCTTTTTGATATATAATACACGGCTTTAATCTGTGTTTAGCCCATATATTATATATGGTCATTTTCTTTAGGCTTGCCAATGCCCTCATGATCTTTATCTCAATTTGCCACCAGCCTCTACATTTTTTGTCTTCACTGTTCTAGCTATATGTACAATCTGTGATCATTGTTAGCATGGGTCCATATATTTGGCCTAAGCATTTGGTAATGAGCACATTTAGACCCACAACACAATTACTGTATACTATTTGCTGGTAGCACTATGTGCTTCTTTTTATAGTTATATACTATTGAGCTCTCTGATCTGTTGCCTATGTTTCGCACTCGGGTCTCCTATCTCCACCCACCAGACTAGATATCGTCGTCTGCTGCTTTCCTATGTAACCCCAGTGATTGTTTTTGTCTATTATATGTATATTTTGCTTTGCTGCATATAATTGATTGTGTATATACTGTTTGTCCTCTTTATATCTTACATATAGTAGTACTATACACAGTCACGGTCCTGAAGAAACCAGATATGTAGACGAAACGCATTGACCATTTCTTATTCTCAATCTTACTCTTTTGTAATCATTATCAGTTCTATAGGTGACATGTTAAAAGTCATATGTAAAAGGGATATGCAATGTACTTTTTTTCCTCTCCCTGTTGTGTTAGGGGTTGTGTATTTTTTGTTCTAAAAAATCCTTCTTGTGATAATTTTATGTTAATAAACTGTGATACTTTTATATGATAGTGTGGTTTCTCAATATGCCTTAAAAATCCGCTAGTTTGGCAGTACAATTTTTGCCTGGCAATTTTTTTCCTTACATTTTTAGGATGTGGCACTAGGAAGCTTTATACAATTTTGACTCCTAAACTTTCCAAAACTGTGTACAAAAATGCTCTATATCAGCGTTTTTTTCTGCCATAGGAACTGGTGTTTTTCTTTTAAGTCCAGTGTGCATGGGGCCTAATACTCTGGCTTACAACCTAGAGAGTATAGACAATTAAAAGGTAAACAAAATATAATCACAACTTTAGTTTTTTCAGTGTTGTGTACAAAACAACAACAAAATAAATTAACCAGTTCCATGCTGCCCTATAACAGAAATACTGTTACAGGGCAGCACGGGTGCACAAAATCACGTATATATGTGATTTTGCAGTTCTGAGTAGGGGGCGTGTGCGTGCTGCCATTCATGGCCTCGACTGTCAATCACCGGGTCCCGGCCAGTGATTACTCACTGCCGAGTGTCTCCGACAGGAGAGAGACCTGTATGTAAACAATACAGATCTTTCCCCTGTCAGCTCCTGCACACTGCCTTGTGTGGCTCTGCATAGCAGTAGTGACACTGACCCTAGCCAAATGCAAAACTAGTGAAAAACAGTCAGAAAAGATGAGTAGGGAAAAAATATCAGTGACCTCCATCTGTAAAACCATTCCTGTTTTGGGAGTTGTCTCATTGTTGTCCATCTAGTGTTCCTGTTGTTAATTTGATTAACACCAAAGCAGCTGAAACTGATTAACAAACCCCTCTGCTACTTAACTGACCAGATAAATATCCCAGGAGTTTCACTGACTTGATGCCAGACTCTGATTACAGAGTGTTCCTTTAATTTTTTTGAGGAGTGCATTTAATTTTATTTTCTGTCCAATTTTTGTGTGTTACTTTCACTAAAAGTTATTCTACGTTACTGGATTGTATTTGTTAAATTAATATTTATTTAAATTCATTATATTAATTAAAAAGTTAAATATTATACAAATATATATAAATTAAACTGTCCATTTCAGTTAAAATGTTCGGCCAAGTGCATCCTGAAGTTTTGGTTTTGGTTCTCAATTTTCATTTCAGTGCACCACTAATATATATATATATATATATATATATATATATATATATACACAAATATCCTGTACGGAATGGGTTTTACAACATCAGGGTTCACATACTATACAGTATACTTTAAGCCTAATAACACTGGTGTTTACATTATTGTGTCCACCCTCTTGATACTTAGCAGACCAAAAGAGAGAAAATAGGGAGAAATTGTTAGGGCCCATTCACTTTGCTGCAATATCACATTACTGCATCAAATGCTAACTTACATACCATGGTGCCATGCACTGCAGTACCTTTCATTTTGAATGGCATACCAAAGCACCAGTACAGTAGCAAGCTATTCACCCGCACCACAGCATACAACCCACATACCATGCGTTGAGGTGCACTGCATAAAAAAAGGGTCATGTCCAGGGGCGGACTGACCATTTGGAAACTCGGGCACTGCCCGAGGGCCCCGGGGTCAGTAGGGGGCCCCATGAGATGCCCCTGGTACCTTTTTCATAGGCTTTTTTGAGTTTGAGCAAGGACACAGATTCCCCATGAACCCCAATTGCCCGGGGGCCCCATGAGTTGTCAGTCCGCCCCTGGTCATGTCTGGCTTTGGCTATGTTGTGGCGCAGTGGTTGCACATTCAAAATCAATGGGTTGCCTTTACATAAAGCATGGTAATGCACAGCCATAAAAGCCATATACAGCCAGGTATTCAGAAGGTCAGGAATGGCAGCCGCCATACTTCTGTCAGTACTGGTCTCCTTTAACGTGTATGTTAGAGTGGTTGTAAACCCTTCCATATACCCAGTGACGTATCTGGCCTCAGGTGAAAACAAATCCTCCTACATACATTGTACCTGTCTATCTGCAGTTTTCTCTGCTCTACAGCTGTTCAAAGTCCAGAATTTTTAAAGCTCAGCTGAGCTGTTAGGATGGAGAGCTGAGGTTACACTCTGCAGAGCTCGGTGAGGAGAGCTCTGAAAGCTGATTGGAGGGAAGAGACACACTTCCCTCCACACAGCACACAGAAACAAAGCTGAGGCTGTCAATCACCTGATGATCCCTCCCCGTCACCATTTTTCTCTTGGTGTCAGAAAAACTTGTCAGAAGTGACTCATGCTGATAGCAGAGGAATGAAGCAGTATACAGAGATGACACTTAGTCGGGGCAGACTGACAACTCATGGGGCCCCCGGGCAATAGGGGATCATGGGGCCCCTGTGTCCTTGCCCAAACTCAAAAAAGCCTATGAAAAAGGTACCAGGGGCATCTCATGGGGCCCCCTAATGACCCTGGGCCCTCGGGCAGTGCCCGAGTTTCCAAATGGTCAGTCTGCCCCTGCACTTAGTGCTCCTACAGAGGGATATACTTTGTTCATATTTCATATCTGAGGTTTACAACCACTTTAAAAATCCTAAAGTTTTGAGAGTGGGAAAAGCATTAGAACATTTAACATAAAGCAAGAGTACTATGCACATAGCATTAAAAATATTTTCCCAATAAACATGAATCAAATTCTTTTGACTTTTGAATTATTTTGATATGTCCTTCTACTGATACACACTGGTCTCTGTATACGAATCCAGCAAGAGCAAAAAAGTCAAGTTAGCCTCCGTTCTTGGCGTTGTTTTGTCTTCTGGACCATAGTATCATAGCAGTCACTCTGACCTGAAGAAATCTCTTGTTTTGATCACACTCCTGCAGGCTCCCTCAGCTTGTCTAGACAACACTGTCAACTAATTAGTCAAAATACAGATATCCTTTCTTAAGACATTATAACCTAATTTGAGATTAAAGGGAAAAGCTACTGGGAACTAATGTAATTTAGAGACATTTGTTTCAACAGTAAAACAGTGCAGATGTAGATATATGCCCATGGTTGTGTCTTATATTGATATTTGGTATCTGCAACTGAAGATCAGCCAACCTTACCTGGTATTTCCATTGAGCTTTATATGCTACTTAGAGAAATGATCTGTATTTCTTACCTTCATATAAAGGGAAACTTTAATTTTACTGTGTAAATCTGTCAAAACCAGGCAGGATGTCTGCATTGGGTTTATGTGTATAACTGCATTACCTACTGAGATCAGTCAGCAGCACTGTCGGACAATGGGATCTGAACAAATCAAGATGGCTTCCAATGTAGCTGCACTGTAGCATTTTAGACAATAGTGACACTGACACCCCGGTCACATCAAGCCACTTACAGTGAAGTCACACAATTTCAAAGTCAAGTGAGATGCTGATTTCAGGTGCAATTTGCAAGACATCTGACACAGGTGTCTATGCAGATCGCACCAAAAGTAGTGCATGTACTACTTTAGAAATCGGTGCGGCTCCAACCAAGGCGGAACCACACCGATTTGACTACTCTACTTGCAGACAATAGGGTGCGACTTGGCATACGATCACGCCATAAAGCCGGCTATACATCAAGACACTTACAGTGAAGTCGCACAATTTCAAAGTCGGGTGAGATGCTGATTTCAGGTGCAATTTGCAAGACATCTGACACAGGTGTCTATGCAAATCACACCAAAAGTAGTGCATGTACTACTTTAGAAATTGGTGCGGCTCCAACCAAGGCGGAACCGCACCGATTTGACTACTCTAATTGCAGACAATAGGGTGCGACTTGGCATACGATCATGCCATAAAGCCGGCTATAGATGAATCAAATCGCAGCCGGTTCAGCAGGGACTGGCCGAGATTCCATCCATCTGTGTGTAGGCTGGTTGTACTGAATTTAGACTTCAGTGTAACCAGTCTGTTGGATTTTTTGTATGTGATTACTGCTGGCTGATATCGCCACTATCAGTGATCATTGTGTTCTGCTTGAAGGGAAGACTCCCCGGTGGCAGAGCACAATATGATAATGGAATATGAACAAATCAAGATGGCTTCCAATGTAGCTGCACTGTAGCATTTTAGACGATAGTGACACTAACACCCCGGTCACATCAAGCCCAACTTTTAAATCGTGACTTACAGTGAAGTCGCACAATTTCAAAGTCGGGTGAGATGCTGATTTCAGGTACAATTTGCAAGACATCTGACACAGGTGTCTATGCAAATCGCACCAAAAGTAGTGCATGTACTACTTTAGAAATCGATGCGGCTCCAACCGGTGCTGCTCCAACCAAGACTTGGCATACGATCACGCCATAAAGCCGGCTATAGATGAATCAAATTTCAGCCTGTTCAGCAGGGACTGGCCGAGATTCGATCCATCTGTGTGTAGGCTGGTTGTACTGAAGTTGATCCATTGATCAACTTCAGTATAACCAGTCTGTTGGATTTTTTGTATGTGATTACTGCTGGCTGATATCGCCGCTATTAGTGATCATTGTGTTCTGCTGGAAGGGAAGACTCCCCAGTGGCAGAGCACAAAAACACTGCAGAAGGGGTTTCCCTATCCACGCTGATTCTGTCAGTGGGTAAATCGACGTAAGGAAAAGGATAGAAATTTGCATTATCTATAGCCTGCTTGTAGCTCGCCATAGATCAATTGTTTTGGATGGATGGATTGGGGTGATAAAAAAAAAAGGAACAGATTTCCTCATCCACACAAGCGAGGTGGATGAAGGAACCCTTCCCTCTGTGCTATTGTATCTTGACAGCGAGGACTCCTCCACTGTCAGATAAAATTAAATTAAAAGTTTTGACTTTAGTTAAACTTAAAGCAAGCTGCGTACATCAATTTTATAAATATCTGCTTGCAGACTGTCTACCGCAGTTTTCCTGTGGCAGGGTGGCCCTTTTGCTCCATATCAAGTACATGTACATAAACTGACATTTCCAGGTAGGAGGGGGCACGTGCGCGCACCTGCTACCCCTTCTGTGCTGTCATTCACTATAGCACCCGCCAATCAGCAGGTCCCAGCCAGTTCAGAGCCCTGTGTTTACTAACAAAACAGGATTCTGAATGGAGAGCAGAGATGTGGCTGTTTGTGGCTAGCAGTCACATCTAGTAGTAAAAGCAGCACATATTACACACATTACACTTGTTAAACTCACAGTTAACCCTAGATGTTAACCCCTTCCCAGCTCGTGTCATTAGCATAGTGACAGTGTACACCGTAGTATCAGCACTGATCGCTTTATTAGTGTCCCTGGAGATGTCAGTGTCATTTAGTAAGTTCCCACCCATCAGTGTCAGATTGCCCTCCACACTATCACAGTCCCACTATAAGTCACCATTACTAGTATAAAAAAAATAAAATAAAAACTCCAGTATATATATACCATCGTTTGTAGACGCAATACCTGTTGCACAAACCAAATCATATACACTTTTTTTTTTACCAAAGACATGTAACAGAATATATATTGGCCTAAATTTATGAAGAAATTTGATTTTTTTATTTTTTTTGTCATACAGTATATGCTTTATAATAGAAAATATCATTATTTTCCCCAAATTGTTGGTCTTTTTTCATTTATATAATACAAAATAAAAAATGCAGTAGTAATCAAATACCACCAAAAGAAAGCTCTATTAGTGTGAAAAAAAATTTATATAAATTTCATGCGTGTACAGTGTTGCATAATTGCACGATTGCCAGTTAAAGTAGCACAGTGCTGAATAGCAAAAAAATACCTTGGGCATGAAGTAGGAAAAATCTTCCGGAGCTGAAGTGGTTATATATAATTTAAAAAAATACATTTGATAGGAACATCTAATCATTTTTTTTTTTAGTTTTTGCATACTTGCTGTCTGTTGATATAATCAAAGTTCTTCATAATCTGATTTTCAACACAGTAACTTGATATCCTTCAGACTTGTTTTTTTTTAGAATTTCATTCTGTCGGGATTTCCTTGGACTACTTCAAATTGAAATGCTGTAACCTTTTAGTTTAGTTTGTAACCAATCAATAAAAAATATGATACATATCCTAGATTGTAAATTCTAATGAGCAGGGCTCTCTGTTTCCTCTTGTACCAAATTGTATTGTAACTGTAATGTCTACCTTCATTTTGTAAAGCGCTGCGCAAACTTTTGGCGCTATATACTGTATATATATATATATATCCTGTATAATAATAATATGCTATATGTTTGTTAGATCTTGGGAGAAAGTAAAAAGTTTATGAGAGTGAATCAAAATGAAACATGTTAGGGCACTACTACAGTCTATAGCCCTGGTGTCCAACCTACAGCCCTTTGGTATATGATGTGCGGCCCTCAGACCTCAGCAGGCTCTAGTGCACAGGTGTCAAACACAAGGCCCAAGTACTGAATCCAGCCCTCCAGGCCATTTCATGTGGCCCTTGCACCTCTCCTGCAGGTACCCCCTTGTCTCTGCCCCCACCTTGTCTCAGCAGTTGGCAGCAGAGAGGAGAATAGAACTCCTCTGCCAAATCCTGCACCTCTCAGTGCAGCTGCAGCACCCCATAATCTCTGCCTCCCCTGGTCTCAGCATTCAGCAGACTTTAGTAACTGATTCCATTTCTCCTCTGGTATTCCTCTAGACCCTGAACCTTCTGCTTTCCAGCTCTGCCCGCAAAGGGGGAGCACGGTGATGTTAACCACTTCCAGTCAGGAAATTTTCACCCCCTTCCAGTCCAGGCCAATTTTCAGCTTTTAGTGCTATCACATTTTGAATGGCAATTGCGCGGTCATGCAACACTGTACCCATATGAATTTTTTAGCATTTTTTTGGAGACAGAAAAAATTTATTTTGGTGGTATTTATTCACAGCTGGGATTTTTATTTTTTTGCTATATGGAAAAGACCAAATATTTTGAAAAAAAAAATGTTTTTTCTTATAACATTTTGCAAATAAATAATATTTCTTCATAAATCTTAGCCAACATGTATTCATCTATCTTTTTAGTAAAAAAACAAAAAAACAAAAACAAATTAGTTTATAACCAAAAATTATAAAAATGTGTTTACATTTTTTTTTTTTTTATATTTTTATATTATATTTTTTTTAACATACTGTCACCCTAGCAGTACAGTGTCAACATAGTGACACTGTACTACTTGTGGGGGGTGATGAAGATTTTTTCTCTTTTTTTACACTGATTGCTTTTACACCCATAAAGGCTGTAAAAACAATCATTTCTCCTTCTCTCTGGCTGCATTCCTGCAGCCATTGAGAAATACTGTGAGAGCTGAGATTGGTCACAGCTTGTCACATGGTACAAGACTGTTGTAAATAGGCTACAAGTACAGGTACAAGGCTGCTGTGATCATTCACAGATTTCACAAGTATTAATGATGTCAGGAAGTGACATCTTGCTTACTACTATTCATGTGATCACTGATTGACCAATCAGTGATCACCTTATTCGGGACCTCACACAGAGGTCCCATACAGTGATCTGTGTTCTGCTGTGTCCTGAGACTGAGAGCGGGCACCAATCGCAGTACTGCGCTCTCCCAGGGAGCACGCACAGGCAATGGATGTGGGGGGACGTTTAGAAACGTCCACCCGCATCGGCAGCGCTCCCGTCTGGCCGTTTATCTACATGGGCCGAATGGGAAGTGGTTAAGGTGGGTATGGGATTCTTGACATCTGATGTAATGGAGGGTTGGGTGCTCTGGACATCTAGTCTTACAGATACAACTGGCCCTTTGAGAGCAACCATAATGCTGATACGGCTCGCGATGAAATGGAGTTTGACACCTTTGCTCTAGTGAGAACATTGATTAGCTTCATGTAACATCTTTCCAGTTTGATATTATCTTCTGCAGTATATCCCCAGCCGAAAACATAGCCTATCCACACTCTCTGACCCTCATTTCCTCTACTAGGTCTGCAGTCTCTGTTCTCTCAGGCATTACACATATATTGACAATAATATCAATAAATGTGAGTGGGATTTGTAACTTTTTTACCATTTGAGTTATTAAAATTTTAATACACTATGGGAGCATCTTTTATTCTCTCTTTGCCCGTATGAGGAGCTATTACTTCTAGGACCACTTTGAGGAGGCTACGTGTGGGACCTTGCCCACCAGTGAGGGAAACTGACACAGCGGTGTTCCTTACATCCGTTGGAGAGGGTCCGGGTTCCAGACCGTTGGTATTTGTACCAAAAGGCGTTTTGACCCTGTAGGGTCACCGCATGGAGGTGAGGGGCCATTGCACCTAGTGTGGGATTCACAGTATCTTGTTTCATATTCACATTGATTACAGGACTACAGAACACCTCCATCATTTGAACTGTTCTGGACTTTTTCAATTAATTGGACATTTCTTTCACGGTTGCGATTATTATTTAGGACACATTATCATTTCTAAGTTTTGGACTTTTAAGTTCATGTTGGTTGGTGGTTTATCCACTGAGGATTTATGAATGAGGTTTTATGGATAGTGTGAGGCAGTGTTTGGTGTCACGTATTTTCATGTTAATTTAGAACCTCCATTTGGGTCAGGTATCACTTCATTATCTATAGGCAATATAGCCTAATTTTTCTATTCATTTATCCCCGGTAGAGGGGTCACATATTTGTTTATTCAGTGATTGTTAGTTGTTCAGAGGCGTTTAGCCTGATTCCTCTACCTTTCTCATGTTTACCACAATTTTGTGGTTTCACGGATTCACTTTGTTTTATATCCCCCATTGGGATCACTGTTATTTTCTTTATACACTAGTTGGTCTTGGGCATGTAGGTTATATATGCGTTTGTGTC